CTTGGGGCAGGATATTCTTCACCGAATGACGTAGGCGGGATCGGATTTGAGAGGCCTACAGCTGTGCGAGAAGTGGCCTTAGTCCTGGAGAAGCAATTATTACACAGATAGAGGCATTCACAGAATTCACGAAACATGGTCAGAGGAATTCCGTTTTTGGGGGAGGAATTCTTGACACTTGCAGGGTGCTAAATATCTGCTAACTTGTATAGGCAAGGTAAGACCACATTTATTAACTTTTCCAGGATGTACACCTACTTCATACGCGTAATTGCGTAGTGTGCCATTTAGCTGTCAGCGGGTTTAGTGTTAACTGTCAATGTTGTGGAACTGAAAATGAAGTGGTTTGGAGATATATATATATTATATATATATATATATATATATATATATATATATATATATATATATATATATAAATTTGCAAAACCGTCTAACGCATGCTTTTGTTTAGGCCTGGTGGACGGTAGACTTAAGAGGTGGTGGACCAGCGCGCGTAACCTGACCCAGTACAGCGTGACTTTATTTCTGATTTTCTGCGGTCTCTACCAGATTCCCACCATCGGACATAGCGGCAAGCGAGATTGGCTGAACAGCTAGCAAAGTTTTGCTCAGCAACGATTCAGTTAATAGAAGTGCAAATATTTGCAAATCACCACGCGCACACACACACACACACACACACACCACACACACACACCACACACCACACACACACACACCACACACACAACACACACCACACACACACACACCCACACACACCACACCACCACACACCACACACACACACACACACACACCACACACCACACACACACACACACACACCACCACCACCACGCACGCACCACGCACGCACGCACGCACGCACGCACGCACGCACGCACTCACGCACGCACGCACCACGCACGCACGCACGCACACACACACACACACACACACACACACACACACACGGATTAACACCGCTGGCTCCCGGATAAAGCCCAGTTTGTGGTCTCGTTAGTGGCTCTCAGGCGTTTCCAATGCATTCCGAGTAGCACCACATTTGCTGTGCACTCGAACTTGAAATTGTCCCGGGCTCGCCCACAGCTAACTGAAGCGTCAGCGCGAGCCGTCGGCCGGGACCGAGATCAGCCACGCAGCCCGGCAGTGCAGTCGAAGCCGGAGGCACTCAGGAACGCTCCCCTTGAGACCGCGCCCAGCGCGCCGTACGATTCACTCCAATCTGTCGGCCGGTGGCGGCAGCCGGCCGCCACCGCCGCCGTCAACAGGGCGCCACTTCGCGACGGGGGATCTCGGCCGGCCTCCGCCACCGCGTCTTGAAAGGCGTGCGCGCGGCCCGCTGTTGCGGGCGTGGCGACCGGAGATAGCCGGTCTGACGGGCAAACAAGAGCGATGTGAGCCGTGTGTGCGGCTGGGCGGCCGCGATAGCCGGCCTCCGCAGCCGTTCAGTCTGATGACCAGGCCGTGCCGGGCCCACGATACGGCCGGCGGCAGGGCGCCGCACTCGACGCCGCCGCAGCCGGCCGCGCGGACGTCACCAGGCGATGGCGGCGGCCGAGCAGGCCGAACAGGCCCAGGCCTCGCCGCCGCGCGAGCTCGTCACTGCGCTCGTGTACGTGTCGCTGCTGCTGGACAACATCCTGCTGTCGGCCGTCGGTGAGTGACGTCGGGCCGCCACCACGCGCGCCGCGTCCTCCGACGGTCCCCGGACGCGTCCGGTCCCGCTCCTGCACCGGTCCCGTTCCCGTCCGGTCCCGCTCCTGCACTCGGCCATGCTTGACTTGTAACCGGAGGACGTAGTGCTCTGGAAAATCCGTTGCCAGGGATGGCTGAACAGCGCAGGGTCGCTGTTCAGTTTGGCAAACCATTCTGAAGCTATAAAAGTGTGTCGTAATGTTACAGAACAGCTGGATGACTTGACAAACGGCGAAACGATCACAATGGAAACCTGACAAGTGTACTCAATTGCACATGTTCCGCTAATGTTTGGAAGCTCTAGACCATACTAAGCTCGTCATATTTATGGTTAACATCTTTCCGCACCGTCGATTTTTATGTTCCAACGCACGCAACAGTAGAAATATCAAATTCAGGTCGTAACTCGGCCAATCTGCGTGTTGCATTCAACCGTAAAGGCATGGAACATTAACAATTTGTCACTTCCATGAGGTCTTTGACTAAGAGAGCTAGAAACACCAAGTTCATAGGGTGGGTTAGCCTGTGTATGAACTCACGTGTGTCAAAATTTAAGTTTCCCAGATCATGATCTTTGGGCCAAATAAGGTCACAACAAGCTTCAACTTCAGATTGGGGTTAAAATGACCCCAAACCTGCTCATGCAACTGCCTTGAAAGTTATTCAGATGCCTACAGCTATGCAAAGTTTGGCGTGTCCACGGCGCACCGTCTGAAAATTATTCTGTAAAAACATCGGGGCTAAAATTGATCCCCACCCAGGCGTACTAAATTTGGTTCGGAAACAACCTGAAACACACCCAGTGCTGTGCTCACAGCAAATGCAGGCAGATGAAATGATAGCAATTCGCCGAAAATGCGTATATTTTTCGCAGCTGGTCTCCAATCCTCTATTCAAGACCCAATGCAGCTCATTTTTACTTAATCTATAACACCTTGATTATCAAAAACACTTCTCTACATACCGACTCTGTCCAGACTCCATTCAGATGGATCCACATGTCGGGTTCCTACGTCGACCCTGACAAGCATCCTTCTCCATTTTTCTCTCCAACTGAAATCAAATTTCATAGAGCGGGGACTGCTTTGCCTTTTATAAAATGACACAGGCTGGACTTGATTCATTTTTGGGGGGAATGCGTACTGTAAATAGGCCCGTGTTTAATCAGTGTTACGGTCATCATACAAATCTGCCACAGTGATGGCCATTTTGAATCATGATGCTTCCAGCCAGAAGTCGTTTGCGACACCTTTGTCACCCACCCGTGTCACGCATATCAGCTGTGTATACTCCTCACCCTTATGCCAGAAGCGCCTCTATGACATGTTTTAGATCAAAACGTACTGTTCTTCTGACGCGGCCTGTCGTCACCTCTGGACCATGCCACGCAGTGCCCATCATCCCTGCCTACCTGTCTGAAACGGGCGGCGGCGGTGGCGGCGGTGGCGGCGGCGGCGGCGGCGGCGCGGCGCGGCGGCGGGCGGACGCGGCGCACACGGCGCAAACGCTGCTCTTCACGCACATCTTCAGCAACCTGTCGCGCACCGCCGACGGCCGTGTGCTGCTTCACAGCCGCACCTCGGTCTTGCCCGCCTACTTCCCCCGGCGACAGGAGCCGCCGGTGGCGGGGGAGGCCGACCAGACCCCGCCCCAGCTGCCGGCCCCGGCCCCGACCCCGCCCCTGACCCCGGCCTTGACCCTGACCCTGCCGTCGGCGAGCGCGGCCGGCGCCGGCGAGCACGGCGCCGCCTCCCAACCGCCGCTCTCCGGTGAGGCGGACAACAGGATCGGCGTGCTGCTTTCCTCCAAGGCGTTCGTCCAGCTGTTGGCCAACGTGGTGGTGGGCACCGTCGTCGGCAGGCTGGGCTTCAGGCTACCGCTCGTGTGCGGCGTCGGCGTGCTGGCCCTCTCTGCCTTCCGTAAGTGGCGCTCTCCGCACTCTGCTGGCACGTTCTCTTATTTCTGGGCTGCCGCCGCCCTGCTCGTGCCTCGCGCCTGTTTGGCATTACCGCTCCTTACTTGAACCGATTTAGTCGCACGAATTATTTCTTCGATTGTCGGCGTGGTCGAGCGCCCCGTTAGGTATAATTTGCAATGCCGCGAAAATATCGCTTGCCAAGTGGTCGGAACTGGAATGTTTTTACCCCAGCCAGTTAGCTAAAAAGAATTATTGTATTTGCTTGCAATAACTTAACACTTCAGTTTTCCGCAACTTTTCACCCTTAACGTAATAGGTTTTCGATGTTTTTACAATTTTTCACTAACTCCACTTTTCCATAAACGTCAAAGCTTTTTCCGTTAACTTCATAGCTTTTTCCCATAGCTTACTCAGTTATTCCCATAACTTTATGGTCACTATGGGACCTGCTGATGATGTATGGCTCTCCATGTACCAGAAATATGATACCTTAGATGGGAATGCAGCCCACTTGCCGCTGTGCCTCGAACCCGCTGCGTCTGCCGCTTGCTGTGCACCGATTGCGTCCTCCCTTCCCCGGAGTAGCCCTTCCCTGTCCCGCAAGTGGTCCTGGAAGTAAGTGTCCCGTAAGAGCTGTCGTTGCGGCTGGACAGCTGCCGGTGGTCGTGACATTTATCCGCAGCTTCGATACCGTGCTGACGCTACTCTGCAGTAAGCTGACTGATGAAACGTGCTTGTACAGAGCTTCATTACGGCCGCGGGCCAAGCTAGATGCTGGGCAAAGTTTAATGCTTAGTGGCCCGGTCCGTCTCACTCCCGCCTGGACCTCATGTGTTTGCTATTTAAGTCCAATATCTTTATTACCTCTTATGCCACATGCAGTTTGGAAAAAAGGAAAAGCATAATTCTAAGAAGCGTTGAGAAAATTCCAGGGTTTTGCGTGTAAGCGATCTGATCAAACTCGATTTTTGTGCATCATCACGCTGCAAGGCTGAACAACATGGCGAAATTGTAATCTGAACCAAATGTACACTCTTCGCGACATTAGCATGTTTAAACGTAAATTTACGAGCTGAAAGCAGGTGCTCAGAGCGGGCCGAAGCCGGGTCCGGATCTGCACGGCACGACGTTGCTGCGGAACGGGGCTAAACATTTGACACCTAGTAGAGGCCAGGCGATCGTGCTGACCAAGGTGCGTGTCAATGTGTGTGGCCGATCATGCGCGGGGCTGCGCGAACTGTGGACCCGCCCGCTTTGGGCGCTGTTGAAAACTGACGTCATATTGGCAACCCAAGTAAATCGATCTGCATCCGAAATGGTTGCCTGTGAGGCCGACTTGATTGACATCACACAAAAAATCCGCAAATTAGCAAGAATTCATCGCTTTCTTCGGCTGAAACTGCCAGACCCAACAAGTTTATTTTCAGGCAGTGCGGCTGATGCATCAGCACTCTAGAAGTGGATATCAGTGAGCCTCTTTTGCCTGCTTATATGCCTCCGGCGAAATACTGAATTTCCTATGCATCGACCCAGCTCATTTGTTGGAGTTGCCAAAGATGTCTCTGAAGTTTGATACCATTAACATAGTGATTGTTGGTAGCCCTAACGTCTGTCATGACCTCGCTCGGCCCTCACCGCACGAGGCGCCTAACCGGTAATGTTACTGTTTCATCTGTCACGCAGCAGATAACTACAGGGCTTGTGACCCCTTCTTCTACACCGTATTTCCGGGTATGTCAATGAATGCCTAATTAGAAGGGATTACCAGAAAAGTTGTTGACTGACGAAAACACCGACGTATCAAGGACAAGGCAAAAATTTTGGCAGAATCAATGCCCGAAGCAATACTAAAATTCGCAACGCATAACCACGCAATGTTTACACGTACATAATTGATATGAAAGAATGAGGAGTGCGGCGCGACTAAAAGATTCGCCAGCCAGCATGTCTCTGCAATCATTTTTTTGTTATTTCCATTGCCTAAAATCAGCAAAAAAAAAATATCGAACGCCGCCCATGCTACGCCCCCACCGCCACAAGCCTGATGCAATCCAAAGCGATCAGAAACCTTCCCATCTTAATGTGGCGCAGCTGGCCTTGGCCGCCGCCGTTTCGCCGGCGGCGCAGCGGCTGGCGGCTTCCAATTTTGGGCGGTGGCAGCGGCGCGTGTTGACCGTGGCCGGCGAGCCGTGCTGTTGACACGCCGTTGGAAAACAGCCCGCGCGGCGCGACGCCCCGGGCGCTGTCCCGGCAGATTGCCGTCAGTCAGCCGAGAGGCTGAGGCGAAAACTGATACGCCTAGTTCCGTACCGTAGTGCGGATGAGAGACGGCTAAGAGCGTGCAGCACACGTGTCGACAGTTATTACGAAGATTATTTGCCAAATAAATGGTGTAGTTTTTCTATTGAAAAGCGACTTTTAGAGCTGTTGAAGACCTTTACAAACATCTTTCAGAGGCAATGTGCCAAGTTTGTGGTAAAAAGCATTTTGTAGTGTGCTTTGAGTTAGGTTTTGAACCATTGCCGTTGCTCAGCCCCACAACCATCTTTTTTGCGAAACTAGCCAGGAAAACTGTGAGGAAACATCATATTTGTCCAACTTCAATATTGCATTGTTGAGATAGCGAAGAACTATGTTAGCATATGTGCCCAAAGAAGAGGTCAGAGTGATCTACTTTGGTGTTTTCTATCCTCAGAAATTTGTTTGACCATTTGAGGGGGGGGGGGGGGGGGCAGCACGCGCACACGCATAAGACACGGCGCTATCGATTGCAATTGAATTTTTTCGATTCGGCCAGCCGGGACTGAGCGTGAAATCCGCCCCTGGCAGTCAATGGTGTGCCACTGGAAGGCCCGGTCAATGACGGGCTAAAGGCAATTTTGTTGGCTTGTGTCATGTCCTCCCAAAAAACCATCTAAATAGCTTGTAGCATTGCCCAACACTTTGAAGCAAAATTAATGCTTTCTGACTTATCCTCTTCAAGTTACACAGGATAATTCAGAACTTAAGTTTTTGAGAAAGATGGTTATGGCTAGCTTTGACATTTGAGACCTTTTTGCAAATATTCCGTAAACAGAAACTATAGATACTTGCATCATCAACATTGTGCTTGAGTTTGCCCTCCATTCATGGGCTTTACTGTGGGCCTGTTTGGCTCTCTCCTAAACTCGCTGTCATGAACTCCTTTTTATGTTCAATGACAAACTTTTAAGGCGGAGAGGAGGCGTGGAGATGGGATCTCCTCTTTGAAACCACTTTCGTCGATACCTTCATGCGTTTCCACAAAAAGAACTGGCTATCCAACCGTCCCTGACCTTTCAACCCAGTATTCCATCGACGGTATATTGACGATTCCTTTCTGTTGTTTCGGTACAGGTTCCATATTGATAAATTTCTCAGTTTTCTTAAAGGGACTGTTTTAGATTTAGAGAGATTAAAGCAGCCATCGGAAGTCGCTCTCAGCAATGCCAGAAATGATCGTCTGAACAATTGTTTTTCATTGTCGTGATCGCCGCATGGCTTGTGAATGGCAAGGTTTGAATGACGTTATCATGACTTTATGAATGTCAAGATGCCTTCGAAATACCGCCCCGAAAATATTCTCCCCATTTCGCGGGCGTCTAGCTCAAAAGCTAGATGGGCTTAGATACTAGGAGAGCACGATTGTGAACAGCACCATAAGGTCTCCAAGATGGCTAGTTCAGTTAAAAAATCCCATATAAATGTGGAACACTCCCTTTTAAGAAGAAATTATGAGGTGACGTTTACGAAGGAGTAGGAGGATTAAAATTAGCTTCTTGGCTTTCCTTGATGTGCGAGTTCGAAAGCTTCAGGGCAAAATTAAAACCGCTGTCTAAAGAAAGCCTGCGTTCACTGGTCTTGGATGGATATTTTCATCATTCAGTTCTGACGCTTTCAAGCCATGTGACATGAAAACTTTTTACCAAATTTTTCGCTCAATTCCAACTATAACCTCTTCTGTTCCAGGCTTCATCAGCTCATATTATTCTGTCCAGGAAATAGCTTCCAGCTTCCAATTATGAATACTTTAAATAAAGCACTTCTCGGGTGCAAAGTATTTAAAAGCACCCGCTGTTCACTAAGCCCTAGGGTTACTAAATGTGTAGGATCTCCCTATTTTGGATTTGGAAATCAGTCGACACAAATGAAAAACGAGCTTACAAACCACGGTTTACTGGACCTACTGGGCGCAAATTTCCTTGTTATTATAATCTTAGGTGCCAAATTTCTAAATTGCTATCAAAAATTTAGTCAGGAGCAAATTACCAGGTGCCGAAAATTTTGTTCAGAGGTGACGCACCGTAAGGCTGCAATGCGCGCACCTCGCGTCTGTTGTGAAAAAGGACGACGAAACTCTCAGCCGGGGGCCAGAATCGAACCCAGCGTAGGACGCGGCACCGGAAGCGGACGGTCCCCCAACTACATCACGCCGTTCCCCCGCAAACTGAGGCGAGGGGCAACCGCCGGACATGTGAGCTCCTCCCGGCAAGCTCCAAGGCATTCCGCGTGTCTGTTTCATTAATGGGGCAGCCCGCTCTGTGTTCAGGACGGGCACGGGACAGTGTTTCAGCAGGCGGTGTCGGCCACTGACGAGTGCGGCGCATCACATGCCTCACCCTTGACGCTGCAGTGTTCGCCGTGGCATCCGGCGCCTCATCTCTACTGGTGGCCAGGGCAGTACACGGCGTGGGGTCGTCCTGCATAGCCATAGCAGGTAATGCACTAAGAGCCCATTACGCAACCGTACCTACTTGTACGTATTGTCCCTTGTGTCTCGTACACAGCCGAGCTATGACAATGCAATCTGGGTGATCCTTCATGTAGCCCTTTCAGTCCATCAGTCATGTTAAGAATATTTCTGCATAACCACCATGAATATTACGCCAGCGATCATCTCACATAGCCGTGGTAGGTCGTGTCCTGGGGTCCTGAGGTCAGCTTGCAGGGCAAAGACAGGCAATGCCTAAAAATTGTTTGAAATCTACATACGGTATCTTTGATGGCTTGATGTCCCGAAAAAAAGAAAACGAGTCTTCCTGCACGTTGAGTTATAGCACGTACATTGGTGCGGCTCGGCTACGGTAATGTGGTTAAGATCACAAACATGCATGCCACTCATCCCCGCTCGCTATGGGCGTGTGACTGTTGATATGCTTAGTCAAAATCCACCATGCTGCCACGTCTACTATGAAATTATAATGGTTTCTGTCAAAAGACCTTACAGATGGCGGGAAGGGAAAGTTCGGCTCAAGATCCAGAGCTCACCGATATCGTCTGGCGACTTTCAAAACAGACTGATCTTTTAGCATTGTTAAGAATTCATCAGCTAGTGTCTTCTCGTGATTTATTTCGAGTGTACTTGCAAAGAAGGTGTTGGGTTCAAACTCTGAACTCGGGGTTAAGACTCTGAACCCAACACCACCTGCACAGTGGGCGTTCTGGGCTTCAGAACACTTGCTTAGTACAACTTGCTGAGCCCATCCTAAAGCTTCCACTCAGATTGTGACATTCTAGTTCACCAGATGGCTTTGACCCTGCCTTTTCGACAGACAGGACCGCGCAGGGTTGTGGGTGCCGCACAATGCTGCGGCCCCGGGGCAGGGTGACCCTCCCCTGGCCAGGCTTCAGCTGAGCTTTCCACGTCACGCAGGCCAAACAATGCCCGCGTCCAGGAGCTCGTATCCATCGCCGTTTGACCACGAGGTCAGAATCTGATGCGTCTATCACGGAGGCCGCAAATTACCTTATGTCTATTTGTTTATTTGTTTATTTTTCTTTTATCGCCAATAGCGCTGCGCTCCAACAACAGGCGATGCCATTTAAATAAAATGCAGTAAATACACAACACACAGTAGGATGAGCATTATTCAGGGATAACATCTCAGAGCTAAGTAAAGCTGCTACAGAGTTTAAGCATACTGAACTCTAAAATGCCAAAACTGTGATGAAAAATATCCGTGCTAGTGTTGCTCGCTAAGAAAGTGCTCCTAATGCTTGGCGGTCTGAAAAAACGGACCGCTCGGTACTCTTTGCAAACGAGCGCGAGGTGCAGCGAGCAGAGTTTGAGTGCGGGTCGACTGAAGCAGCACAAGCAAGGGGAAGCAGCTTAGCAACAGTTGAGAGCCCAGTTTACCTTAGAAGATGTTCCTCAGAAAGAGTAACCCGTGCAGCAATCTTCGTGCTGCTGGGATGGGATTTTGAAATGAAGCGGAAAGCTGTCATAAAAAGAAGCTGTTTTCCCGGAGAATGTGTGAGTAAGTAACCAAATAAGAAACTTGTGCTGCACTCAACCAACCCACACTGTGTGGGGATTGGTCGCCCACGCCCAAATCACGCTGCAATATTCTGAAACTGATCGCACGTTTGTAAAAATACGCAGTCATCACAGCGCTTCAGATGAATTCTAATCAACTGGTACCGGCTTGGAAGGACAGAATAAAGAGGCCAAGTGCTCGATTGCCACGACTGACTACGTCAAATATGTGCAGCGAAGATTAGTTTGGTATCCAGCGTTGCGTGAAGGTCCCTAATTTTAAACGCATGTTCAAGCTCAGTTCTATTCATATGTTACATGTTCTGGATGGGAGCACGCCTGAGGGTCATCGTGAAAGTTTTACATTGTTTAGGGGTTAAGGGTCGGCCCTCACCTGACTGACCACGCTACCAGATAATCGGGATCATTCTGCAGCAGCAGTCCGTCAGCCGGGGGCGTAATTTTGTGGACTTTTTCACGTCATCGGCATACAAAAGACGGTCGGATTAACAGTAAAAAAGAGGGAACCAAGAGTGATCCTTCCGGGACGTCGGAGGTCGCCAGTTTATAATCGGAAGTTTTCTCCGTTGACGTTAACCCTCTGAAGTCTGTTGGACAGATACGAGATCAACCTTAAGTTGCATCAATACTTCGACTTGTGGTTCAGGAGCCCGTCATTGACGCTCTGAAAAAGCAGTCGAATAATCAGTGTAAATGACATCCGTCTGGTATCTCACCGACATGGCCTCCGGGCCAATTTCACGTAAACACAAAAGTTAGCGCCGTACGAACGCTTAGGAATAAAACCATGCTGATGATGATGGCATAACACCGGGGATACTTGGCGGAACAACTTGTCATGTGCAATTCCTTCCAGTATCTTTCCGAAGAGAGGAAGTAGGGATATATATATATATATATATATATATATAATCTTCTGTAATTTGCCGGCTCCTGCCTATCTCCTTTCTTAAAACTTGATACGACTTTTGCCTGCTTCCGCCTAGCCGGGAAGACATCTGAGCTTACCGAGAGGTCACAAATCTTGGTGAGCAGAGCGACTAACTCATCAGCGCACTCGGTGAATTTGCGGGGACTGATATTGTTAGTCCGCAGGCCTTGCTGGGACCGACCACAGAAATTGCGAATCGCACGGCTGCCTCAGAAACTCAGTTGGCTCAGTGACTCGACTGGGCACCATGGCGCATCTGGAGGGAGATGCACACGGATATAACTAAATTTTAGAGCGAAGGCGTCATTCAACGCGGCGGCGCGAGCCATGTTATCCAACACGAGAGTCTGCTTAGAGTTATACGAGGCTGGTAATATGCATGACTTCTTCGGGACATATTTAAACAACCAGTACAGCTTAGGCTTGGTCCTAAGATCTTTGGTGACTTTATATAAATTTTGAGGATACTTTGGACACGGACTTAAAATTGTGTCTCCTGTCCGCAACCTCAGCCGCGGTCACTACGCCGGAGTTTTCTCGGCAGACGTCGGAAAGCTGCCTCATTCAGCCAGAGTGTATCTCGCACCGCGCCGCCTAACAGGGGGTCAGTCGGCGCCGGAGGATCACCATGGGGACGTGGTCGGCGATGTCCATCTCAAGCGGTGTGTAGAAGGTGTCCACTGCTTGGCCCAGCCCCCACTGGATCCGGGTGAGGCTTCGGCGCAGACCGCCGAAGTCAGCCCTCTTGTAGTAGCACGCAGTGTGCCGATGTACCACAGGCGGACTGCTTACCGGCACATTGAGAGTGAAAATGAGTGGGACGCTTTCCGCAGGTCGAGAACGACGCCGCCGGCCGCCGGTGTCCAGTGTATTTCAGGCGGGTTTGAAATCTCCGATGGCGAGGGTTCTGAAATTCATTTGCGATTGTCAATTGCGATTGCGGACGAGATCATGTGAATGGTAAGTACACAATGCCTTTGCTTACTAAGGATGTCCCAGGCATTGAAGTTGGAATTGTCAGACCTTAGCCTTCAGAGCTTAAAGGAGCATGTGAAGCAAACACGAGCTGTCAATGAACACTGAAAAAGGGTCATTCATGGATACAATCATAAACAGCTTGCTGTACTTGGCATTGGGAGCAGGGTCCTTTTATACGGATGATTATTGAAAGTAGGTTTCTGTTACATGAATTCATACAGGCTAGCTGCTGTCTTATGACAGTGATGCACAAGATGTATGCATCTGTGTTATCCAAATGATGTCCATTTTAGATAATAATAATTGCGCAATGCTAAGCTATTTTGTTGGCATTTATTGTACATCATAATGTTTTCAACCAGGGCAGGCGATGATACTACCCATATCTCACTTTGAAAGTGCCTGGAATGCAACTTGCATACATATATAATGCATAGTATTCATAACAAGTATTGTGACAGCCACCCAAATTTCTCAACTCGAACCTACTTTGATGTTCTTGCAAAGGAAGCTCCTTGACCAGGCAGTTTTGCCTGATCTTCCGGTTTTGGCATGCCCACCCAAGACTTCTTGCCTGAAAGGCTGGAACCCTCACTATTACTTGCTCACACTCAAGTTTTATGCGCTGTTATGCCTTCTGCAGCTGTTGCATGCTGTTTAGGCTTCCTTTTTCAGCAATTTGTCTTTCAATAAGTAGCGATCCTAAGTTCGGTTTTACAATCTACGGCACAAATGCTTGCGTTAGTTACACTACCAAATCCACCAAGGGCTTATCAAAATTAAGCTCTGTGGTACATTTGTTCTTGGCTTTGAGAAACCCATTCAATATTTTTTGCGTATATTTGCGTCGTAGATTGTACATTGTCTGTGTATTTTTTTAGTGTCGTCATTGTAATTGTATATTTTGCGTTGAGAAACTGGATTATACGATTATACGCAAAAATGTGCAATTTACGCCAAAAACCTACGAATTTCACATATCACACAACCAAAGTGGGCCATGCCAGAAGTTGGGCCGCAATGCTCTATGAAGAATATCAAAACTTCCTGATCATAGGAAATGTCTTGCTTGTTGCAGTTGACATGATGACTTGTCATTGATGATAATGATTGATGTTTGATAACCTGATTTCCTGGCTAATTAGTTTACCGTGCTGGCACAACTCGTAGAATGTCTGTACTAGCCTGTGATATAAACTAATGGCTTCTTCTTTTTACGAAGCTTAAACGATATGAAAATCCCGTGTCATGTTTGCAATGCCAGTTTGTCGAAAAAAAACTATAAAAAACTTTGACAGCCTCGTCGCATCTTAAATTGAAGGCATCTTTCGTTTCTTGGGATAAGTGATGTGAGATATGTGATATAGTTTCGACGCAATCAAAAGCCAGTCAAAAATTACGCGTCAGCAGCGGCCATTCGCTTGCTGGCGACAGTGGCGCTGCATGGTGGTCAAATGACGCAAATGGAAACTTGCACAAATAGTAGCAATCACAAATCAATCGAGATTTGTTTTCACATGAACGATGTGCA